GCTGTGAGTAAGGGGAGTACCTGAATGCTATCTTTAGAGCCTAGCCAATTAAAAATGATGGATAATTGTACGCCTGCTTCTGCACTGTATAAGAAAGAGCCTGTCGGACAATAAAGATGGAGCTTGCTGTATCACCCACACGGAGTCGGCCGCTTGCTTCCCTGTGCGGAACCTTCACCTTTCCCAACATTAGTTTCTCATTATTCCACATTTTCATCAAAGCGATTTCTGGTAAAAACTAAAAGAAGAAATACATGGAAAGAGTCTGTTTATAAGCTTGAGAAAAGAAACATGATCTTACCTTTGGATCATTTTCAAGCAAGAGTGCTAATCTTTTCAAGTTTAATTTGTCATAGTTCACTCTGTAGTATCCACTCAAATTTACATTTAGCAGGATCCAGTCATATTCTGACTCAAATACTTCCATTTCAGGAAACACTTCTGTGAAGTGACATTAGAATATATCATTTTATTTTCCATGGACTGCTAAATTCTCTTGCATTTATAAACAGTATATTTGGTGCTCCTCTGAGATCTGAGACACAAGTTTTAGGTTAGACTCAAAGAGAATTTTGTGAAAGCTCAGTGCATTTGTGATCTGATCTCTGCACAGCAGAATGACTTCAACAAGCCACTGACCCCTGAGCACCTTGAAATCGCAAAAGGGAGATGGAGACCCACTTTGCTTCTAGTCTTTAGATCTTAGGCAACTGAGGGAGTTCAGAAAGCTTACCTAAGAATAAACTCTCTGGATGAAAAGCAATACCCTCACGTGCCTGCTGTTGGGCATGCACCCCCAGCATACGCATTGCAACACAGTGCTCAGTACCTTACAGAAGAACCAGTAACCAGTATTCACATAAATGGAGATCAAAAAAAGCAAAACAGGTAAGTTTAAGCAAGACACAAGTAATTGAAGATGCTTATTTGCAATAAAATAACACTGTAGTTGTTTTGAGTTACATCACTCACTTATCTCCTCCTTCTGCAGTTCATATCATCTCACTGCTACCTGTTCATGTGTTCATGTCTGATTGACTGCTCCTGATAACCTGCAGTGCATTTGAAGGAGCCAGTGTAGTCTTAAGGAATCTTTAAGCTGCCTCATAAGAAGCGTATTCAAATGCTGTTTTAACTGGCTACAGTCATCCTGATTTGAGAAAGAAAACTCACTTAGGAGAATAAGTCAATACTGGTGAGTAATCTAGACCCAGCACTGCTTTACCCTGTACAGAAGACTGACACTTCTGTGTTTAGACAGCACAAGTACTGCAGGATGTTTTCAGGGGATATATGGATAAAATAGATGTACATCCATTTTTTGCTTATTTACTTGCTCATATACCATTAAATGAATGATCACCCAAGCTGTCCTATTGCTTGAAAAAGAGGGGAAGTAACTTTTAACCAATGCAAACAAAGGGTGGAGAGCTGCAATGTGGACACAGCATATTGTAGTTTTGCTCTTAAACATTCCAATGCATGTATCTGCATCTCCTTGTAACTGATATGAAACCTGATGGAGTTCAGGACTGACTTGCCAAAGGAAAAGTATTACCCCATTCTAATGATTATGTTTCTTTCTCAAAAGAAAATATAGCTGTTTATTGGAAAGAGCTGAACTGAGAAAGAAGTTAATTTTTTTATTGGAGATGCCCATAAAACCACTTTTCTATTAGAAGACTTTAAAACTTTTAAAAATGCTACTCTTTTTCATTAAATTTTTCATTAATTTTCATTAATTAATTTCATTAAATTTTCATCAAATTTTCACACACAAATTAAATTAAATAGTGCTGAAAATTTTACTTTTCTGGTTTTACAGATAGTAATTAATAACACGGTTGGGTCACATCTCACTGCTAGTTTTAGTTTTTTCAGTCTTGTCTCTATTACTTGAGCTGATCATTTTCTGATACTTCACAGCTGAGATCCGACCTATACTCAAAAGCTGGTGTTAACATCAGTGAGATCTGTTGGGGTAAGAATAATACAGAAACATGAGGAGCAAGACTTTGAACTTGCTTAAAAATGACAAAATCAAAATTACTGTGGAAACCTCTACTCCTAGTATGCATTGTACCATATAATGAAAAATATATACTGAAGTTTGATGCAACCTAGAAAAAAACCATTATATTAACCTACTGCTATTGTAACACAAGATCGTCACAATGGATAAACACAGACAATTCTGTATTAAAGTTTTATCTCCCTATTCAATTGAATTATATCCTCAGTTTATAAAAGACTTCTGAGTGTTTTTATCAGCTTGATTTTGGAATGTGCAAACAATTACATTACTTACTGCTGCTTTTATCTAGCCACATTAAGGGTTGTGATGATCCATTTCTCATCCAAGAAATAGGAATAATCCATGTGTTACTTAACAAACAAAAAAGAGAGATAATATGATTAATTCTTATGCTTAATTATGCTGAATTTCATGAATATTCAAACTCTAGCCAGGAGTTTCCAAAGTGGGAGACCAAAGGCAGCTCCTTCTATCACCATTTTTAGGCATCTAAATAAGCAGCAGAGCTTTCAAAAGCCCCAGGCACTCAGCAACACTCACTGACAGGAAATGTAGAGCTGCCTGTCAAGTATCAGTACTTTCTGAGAAAGGGATCATTTACACGAGTATTTAAATGCAACCCTTTATCCTTGTCAGGCAGAAGAGACTGATAGTAAGTGCACTGGAAGGAAGTTACAGCATGGTTCATCCAGGTCACTTCTTTGTACACCTGGGGGATGAGGAAAGAAGAAAATGCCAGGCAAAAATCCTGCCTCCAATCTATGGCCTATGTCTGTCTTTATTGTTATGTGGATGGAAAAATCACTATTCCAGAGGAAAGCAACATTTTGGCAAAACAAGCAGACTTTGCAGAACTATTGCAAACTCCAGTCTCAAATAAATTTTACTTGACAGATTGTGACAAGAGAATCATCAAGTTAAAATATCAGATGACAACTGAAGAGTTTCGTGGAAAAAAAACCCAGAGTATAAACATAGAACACAAGCTAAACATACTTGTAAGAATCAGTACTCTTTTCATTCTTTTTATTAAGAAATTGTTCCTGTCTAATTGTTCCAGTGGTTACATTTAATGTTAAAACTGGAAACCCATTTTGGCAGGTCCAGGAATCCATTATTTGTTTTACAGATGCTGGCAACTGAACTTCGTCCTGTGCATCTATGACCTGCAAGAAAAGAGGAATCAGAAATATTTATGATAAACAGGTACTTATTGATATTGCTTCAGCAACACTTCAGAAGTTGTTCTAACACATTACACAAAATAACTGCTTACCAGTTTACTGGTCTTTGACTCATGTAAAAAATCAATGTAACAAAGCCCAATGGACATTTCTGACATTATAATAAAGGTAGGATAAGCCTTATTTAGGAATTATGAAATACTGAGATAACATTTCTCATTCTATAACCTGACTGCTATCCTTTCTTTTTCTCGTGTTAATACTTAAATGCCTGTATGGCTATGACAGACTTGATTTGTTAATTTCATTCAAATAAAGCTGCTGAAACACAAAGATTTTTAAGTGACCTAATGAACAAACTGAATAGTGAATACAAATTGAAAAAGATACTATGCTAGAGTCCCAACTAGTGTGAATTGGTACAGTCTTCACTGGCTTAAAAGATGTGGCAGCCTTGCATATCTGAAATTGCAACACACTCATTCTTAAGACTGAGTCTGCAACACAATAGAAGCCTTCTTTAAAGGAACAGAAAAGTGGATTTAAAAAAAAATAAACCTATTATTAGCACCTGTCTTCTTTGTCATATTTCTGCCAAAATCATGGAAGGGTGAAATGCTGAGCTACTGCCCTTGGTATAGACTTTGCTGGATCTGTGACATATCAGCATCTTTGATCATCAAGCCCAAGGCACCATACACTCTGATCTGGCAGAACTTCAGCTCCAGAACAATAGGCTATGAAGTTTCATGTAGGCTTATGCAATCACCATGAAACCCAAAACTCCGCCTGGTCCTGACTTCCCATCTTAGCTCTCTACTCCTTGGACTTAGTTCTGCTGATCTCAGGTACAATAAAGGAGCCAAATTAATACTTGCGAAGACACTGGCAGAAAGAACCAGCAAAGCAAATTTTATGCAAGAGAAAGACTGCACCAGGGATAGCCTTATTCCAGTGCAGTCTTCTACAAACACTATACATCCTAAATTTGGACTGCACCAAACACCAAAGAAAGAACACTAGAGATATAAAGTGAGTACCATCTGGATGTGGGTCCAAAGATCATCTTGATTAGCATTTGAGAAGGAAAATTCTTTCAGATACAGCTGTGTGGAAACAAACAGAAGCATCAGAATTCATGAGGGCTCAATGAAAAGCATCAGCAAAGCAGACAACAATTTCAAGCTTATAAATCAAGACGAAGGGGTTATTTTTTCAAACTTACAGTAAGTGCTTTGAGGAACAGCTTTTCAGTCAGGAAGCCAGAAAGCATCCAGGTTACAGAAGCCCCCTGGAGTACAAAAAAAAAAGATATGAGAAAAAAATGAATTATTATTGCAATTATTGTTGCAATATTTTTTCAAACTGTATTCCATAGGATTTAGTCAGGCTACTCCTACACTTCATATTTCACAAAGGTTAAAAATGTTTCCAGCATATCTTTCATAGCCAAATAGGTTTGCAACACCCAATAAATTTGTGTGTGCAGCAGAAACAAATCTTGAATGACGAAACAACAGTTTCGTTCAATAGTTCCTCTCAAACATACTTTGTAACACTAGTTTAGAATCCACGAGAAACGGAAAGAATTTTATATTTTTAAACCTTGTTGTATGTGATGCTGTCAAACAAAGACATTAAAGAAAATGATCCTTTGATCTTGTCTTCACTCTCTGACAGTGATCGAACTCCTATTTCATTGTCTTCCCTTAAGACACGTTGTACAACATGATCATAAAAGATTTTATCCTGCAAGAAAAAGACAAATCTAGGTGAGCTGAACAGAAGATACTTATTGGCAGGAGAGAATGTAGATATAACCAGCACTAATACAAATTGTTTGTCCATAAGCAAGGAATGATCTTTTCCCCCACTCCCTAACTTTCCCATGAAGTAGAAGGGACTGTATACCCAATCCTAAAATTTGGTGGCCTTTACACTTTTCAGTGATATAAAAATACTGCATTACAGAAAACAAAGTGAGCTATTATCAAAGTTCAAAGCAGAAGGTTAGCATATCCGATGACCTAAAAATCCTTGTGACAGAATTTGTTTGACATGCCTGTATTAGTTTCCAATTAAGCATGTAATTAAGCACTTTGGTGAATGAGAAAAGGAAATTGACAAATGGTATTTCAACTGAGCCAAATAAAAAGCAGACTGGATTAACTGCAGGCACAGGCCTGCCCATACCAAAGACTTTTCCTTCCTTCCAAATCTTAGGGCACTGACATTTAAGATCACTCAGGCAAGTTCATCTCATGGATTCACCTACCCACCTGTCTCAGAGTTTACTGATGGATGGAGTTTTCTAATATACTACGGGATTTACACTTATTCCCATTTGGGCTGAACAGGAAGGAATTTTAGCCTGCTGTTGGATTAGTTATGTGCATTATATTTGCCTTATTTACAGCTAGACCTTCAGGAACCCAGTGGGGTAAACAGACCCAAAATGGCCCAACCTAGTCACTGCCTGGTAAAGATACCTGAGGCATGGGATATTTAGAAAAGGGCTGGCCAGGCAGGGAGGCTGTATCAGGATCCAGGAGAGAAATCTGGGTTTGTTATATGATAGATCTAGGGCAAAACTCCAACTCCGTGTCACTGCAGAATCACAGCTGTCCAGCTGTCCTCTGAACCAGCTGTACAAGAGCTAGGTGTGATCATGGGCACCCAACAGAGACCTACCAGGAACTAATCAAGACATGCTGGTCTTTCCCATGGGAGTTAAGTTAATAATAGTATTGTTTAATTAAATCCCATCTCCTGCACTTTACTTTGCTTTGTACATGATGGAACTTTGCTAGTAAGCATTCGTACTTACCAGTGAAAGCCTGGGTTCAATAAAGGTAGCTCCCAGATACTCAAAGTAAGATGCCAGTCCCTCATTAAGCCACAGGTCATTCCACCACTTCATTGTAACCAGATTGCCAAACCACTTAAACATAAAGAAAAAATATCTCAAAATCTCTTTGGACTGCTGTTTTCATTTCTTTGCAGGTTATGCTAAACTAACTTTATTTAATGTGTACATGTTAACTGAATAAAATGCTGAATATTCCTGCACACGGTGAAAGTTCAGTAGAAAAAGATGTACCTTGGATCAAGTCAGAAGTTTAGGGCAGTTATTTTTAAATTGCTTCATCTGTAATTTCATACAATGAATATGGATCTCAGTGCTTTATGTCATTCTTTCAGGATATGTCATTTTAAACACTTTTCAATGCAATTTAAATATCCACAAGATCATATCAGGCTATGATTAAAAGTAGGGCATTTATTAAGCAATTACAAAAACATTTTTCCGTGTTCTTAACAAAATGAAATTGTCAGGGGAATAATAAACAGAACTGGGGAAATAACAATTTCCAAAATCAGCAAATCCCTGTTCTGGCAAGTATAAAACTTCCACAACAGCTGCTGTGTACTCATATTTGGCGGTTCATATTTAACAAAATAATGACCACTTACAGATTTGTATTTTATTTGCTATTTCTTAAAAACCATTACTACAACCTTATTTTAAAATAGAGTTTAATTAAGTGCTGGCAGCTTGTCAGCAGCCCTTGTTAGAAAGGCATACAGGTGCACTAGCCGAATTAAACTCTCTTGCTACTTTCTTGACTAAGTGCAGTTATTGCTCTGGCAAATAACAGTAAATTAGACATAGTAAATAAAGAATTGAAATTGCATTATCATTACAAATCCAGTAAGAAAAAATTTGAAAATCTCTACAAAAGCTGGACAAAGATCCAGTTACAGTGTAAAATGTCTTCATGCTTATTTTGTTCTATCATACCACAGGCTGTTTCTTACAGAAAAAATACCTTTTGCAATGTACATGAACTGCCACTACAAAAGAATACTGACGACCTCCATTAATTCTCCTACCAAAGTAGTAAGTACACTGTAAAGAGTACTGTGTCATCCCTACATCCCTAGGGTATCTTCTAGCATGGGATTCAAGTACTGTGTAAGAAAAAAAAATTAGTTCAGTTTTGTATCAGTGAGTCTTGTGCAGTCAGTATGCAGTCTGTCATTTGTAGCAGTGTTTTATAAGCAGAACATATGATCAAATAGGCTTTCAGTACTTTAGTGCTCACCCCCCTATTGGCAAATAATTATTTTGCTTCTACTAATCAGTAACTGCATCATCATCAATAAGAAGGAAACAATGTCATACACAAATAAATGTACAGAATTTTTTTACCACATGCCTGGTGTCCTAGCTCATGTGACACTATTAAGGCAATCATTGCCTTTCTGCTTGTGAATTTATCACTTGGGATGTGCATCAGTGATGATTCTTGGAAAGTCATTAGCCCCCAGTTTTCCATAGCACCTGCTCCAAAATCAGGCAATGCAACCAGATCTAGCAGACAAAAAAAAAAAAGAGAAGTATCTTTAACACTTTTGTAAGTAAAATGCTCACATGACTTTAGTGTTCACACTGGTGCAGCATCCAATTAAAGGATACTACAGTTTAATAGCTCTTTGTGGTATTATGGCAAACTCCAAAATTTATTCATAATGCTTTTCACCTATGATTGCCGCTCTTTCAGGAAGCCACATAACTCCCACAAAGCCCAGCTCTGTCCTGTATCTTGTACATACAAATGTTTTTAATGAAAATGAAGGCTAGAAGAGAATATATTCACTGTTGATAGTCAGAAATCTTTCTCTGTGAGTTTCTGCTGTATTTGGGTAAGGTCATACTTACCTTTTTCTCCCAGCATAACAACTGATAAAAAAAAAATCTTGCTCTTTCAGCTTTATGTGGAGGTATCTTTTACACTCTTACTTGAAAGGCACCTTAGAAATATTATCTTCATTTACACAGTATGACGGTTAGCTCTGTACTGCCCTTCTGCCTTAAACACAGGGAGCAGTTTTCCAGTTCAGATATGAGAGATGAAGAAAACATCAAGGGACTCCAAGAAGGACACGCTGTTTAAACTTGGCATCAAAGATCAACATTTGGAAAAGCTATACAGAGCATTTTGAAACAAACACAAGCTTGTATCTCAAACCATCTGACCATGAGAATCTCCAGTCCAAAAGCTAAGCACTTAATGTAGGCATGTTGCTGAACTACAGCACAGCTAGGCTGCATGTCAGCAGGGCTTATGACCTACAGCTTACAGCAAAGGTATTTCACTTTTGGTGAGGCAGCCTTCATCTAGCCAACTTGGGGCAAGAGAGCTCCTTTGTAACTGCATTAAAATCAGGTGAAATCAAACCCTTAAAGATCACTGATTTTAAATGTGTTTATTCTTAATTTCACATTTTGAGTTTGCAATAGAAATCTCTAGCATTTACAAGGAGCTATTCTTGGTTGATCTAATCTTACTGATTTTTAAGCAAAACATGAGAGAAAGATATTGGGAAATCCAGTGGATATTGCATGGCATTACAGTGGGGATTGTCATGGTATTACAGACTTTTGTGAAACTGAAATCCTATTAAACAGTAAGTCCATAATACCATTCTTTCATTTTGTAATAGCTTTATATTAGTGAATTAATGTATTGACATTGCTGCTAAACAGAACATGAGCATGAAACAGAAATGTCTATAGCCCTTGATTACTAAGATAACAAAATTTAGTGAAAGCTGCATATATTACATTTTCCGTGATGACTGTAGGAATTCCGCAAGTTATTAGAAATACACTGGGAGATAATACATATACACAGATTAAAATTTATTTCTCTCAAGTGCCAAAATACAGATTCAACAAACTAACAAAATATTCCATAAGAATAGAGCTAAATTCTTCCCCTACAGTCCTGCAGTCTGCTAAAATCATGCTGAAAACCTCCAAATTTCATTGTAAATGAGAACTGCCTTCTGTGCTCTCAACTTTCTACTAATTTGTATAAAAGAACCCATTTCCCTATAATATTCATGCTGTAAACCTTGGAAATCCACGTACAAGTAGCAAACAGACTCTGCAGTGAAACTACATGATGGCATTCTTTTTTCTTGAATCAAGCTTGACTCAACTGACTTACCTGATGTCCATTTTAAGTAGAAACAATGTTTTCCTGCAGGAGTCTTTTTTCTGGGGAGGAATGCGCCGGAATTCATGGGGTAACAAGGAACACAACTCATGGGTAAGACAGGAACATGACGAAGAAGGCAAGGAATGCTTCAGGGAGACACAGGTTACAGCAAGCATGGATTTACTACGAGGACACAGGGACTAGAACATCCTTGCATATTATGGTCTGTGCATCCCAGAAACCATGGACTGAACTACTCCTTTCTATCCACTTTGTTGTCCTATCTGCCCCTTTATGAGGAGACTATGCTTTAAAAGAATGAGTGGGATGTGAAGGTAAGAGTGCTGAGTTACAGGTTAATAAAAGTCATGGTGCAGAAAGGAGAATTCAGTGAGTTAAGGTTTAGGGGTTTATTAGAGGGTAAGCTGTAAAAGAATGTGGTCAGCTGTAAAAGGAAAGCACCGCAAAAGAACCCATTGTTTCTGTGAATGTTATGCCATCAGCAGCCATTTCTGGTCCATTTCAGAAGTCCCCTCACCTGTCTTTGGCAGAGGATAGCTGATGTTAAGTATGTCTTCCAGAAATGCAAATATTGGGCCCGTGATATTTAAAGCATAGTCAAGATACCCATTTTTAATTGCCTCTTTCCGAGCCCAAATACGTATCTGCAATAAAACATGGAAGAGTAGTTTAAACAACCCACATATTTTCATTTTCTTTTCCTCGCTTTTATGAATCATTGGGGGAAAAAAATGCTGTCTGTCCACACCAGGCCATGCAATGAAGCTTTTAATGAAAACAAGTCCAGATCAAGTTTTGCTGAACCTAACAAAATGCTGCACAGAGCCTGATCCTGCTACAATCTAGGAGATTTCCAGTAACTTCTGAAGGACCAAGATTTGAATCCAACTATACATTGCTGGAACAAAAAAACTCATGGTTTTTCTTTTATTAAGGGGAAATACTGTAAAACTATTTAGAATTACATACTGAGGCAAATGTGTTCCAGCCAGTGAGTCTGGGCCTAAAACCTTCTTTAGCCCACCTGAAGAGAGAGATAAATAGATGGTCAGAGAGTATTTGCAATGCAAACATATACATCTCTCCTCTTGAATTTTCTCATAGCCTGAAACAGACCACTGGCCTCCCTCTCTGCTGGAGAGAACAGATGACATCTGAGCAGATGACATCCATACCTCTCAGTAAGAGAGACCATTGCAGCAAGCAAAGCTTTCCCCTCCTGTGTCCATTTGCTTTGTCACAGTTCTGAAAAGGACAGCTGCTTGCGCAAAAGTGGTGGAGTAGGCTTAGAAAAGTTTATGCATCCCCTATGTATTGCTGAATCAAAGACTCCTCCAGGTGCCTAGCAGCTCAAATCCTCCACATTTCATTCATCTAAACGCTGAGCAAAACTGAATACTAACAGATGAAGAAGCTTCAAACACAAAACACTTTCAGAGGCTAAAAAATGTGCCCACTGCAGAATAAAATGTTAAAATACTAGTAACGAAATGCTTGGAGCACACTATTGCTCCTACTGATGACATGACACTGCTTCTCAAAGAGCCTTGAAGAACAAGACACTGAACTTCGGTGGTTTGTCACAGCAATGGAAACAGGCATTTTTTCCAACTAGGACAGCCTAAGAAAGTAAGAAGGTCCCGAATCTGTCCAGTACTTTCTGCAAAGTAGCTGCTCCTAAATTTTAACATACACAGCCCATACCTACCTGTGTAATTGTATGAAGTGAACAGGACAAGACAATAAACTAACTGTCGTAAAGGAAAGCTTTCTGCAGAAATATCTACAGGATAAATGTTAGCAGTTTGGCTACATAAGCAAATGGGTTTGGAATGGAAAACAGAGTTAATGTCTGTGATACCTTCTAAAGCACATGATACACCGTAGAGCCAACTTCTGTTGTAAACTGCTATAATTTGTTAAACAGTCTCATATTTACCTCGTTTCCCTGCGTGGTTCTGGTGATATAATCAAAATCACAAATCACAAAAGCAGTCAAGTAAGTTGACATTTTCAGTGATGTGTTAAATGTGGTTACAGTCCATAGGCTTCCATTTTCATCTTTCATTTCAGATACATCTTGAAAAAAAATCAAAGAAATACTCAAACCATTCCTCTTCCATAATAAACATGGAATTTTGTGCCTTCTGCATGTTTTTTAATCACTCTCTTCAATATGCTGTATTCCTGCACTAACTTCACGTGTTTCTGGTAGAAGGCAGGCAGCCAGACTCGTTGCTACTGACACGTATCAGAGTCATGACCTTCCACACAAACACCAAAAAGCCACTACTGAGCTTCTTAACTGAAGTCTTGGAAGCGTATCAAACTGCATCAGTTTTAAGATGTGAGCAAGCTGTGCACAACCCATCCCATGCTGCCTATCTCTGAAACATATGATCTATTATGATTCAAATGTAGGTCACATGTGCCTAAGAATTATGAAATATTTTAATGATACCTTCCTTGTAAATAAGGGGGACATGGACAAGAGTTTCAGGGGTAGAAAATTCTTCCAGCAATTTTCACAGGGATCCCATCTATTATAATTCCTAAGTTACTTAGCTTCCATGCAAATCTCATTTGTTTGGAATCTCATACGCCACATACATCCCACATGAGGCCCCAGCAAGGGATCTCCACAGCCTTGTAATCCTCTCAATCTGATTCTGCACCTACACAGGAGGCTATAGGGTCTCTGCCTGGTAAAACAATTTTTTGCATGTTCTAAGTATGTCTTCAAATCTACTGAGAATTAAAGGAATCCTTTGATATCACAAACAGAAGCTTTGCATACTTAGGGGTGACATTTTGTTTTAAAAAGGAGTCACACAGTAAGACAGACACACTGACTAAACACTAAACAGTAAACACCAAGAATCAAACTCTGCAGCCCCCAGCAAACAGAGGGAAGCACGCTGCAATGAGAAAACTGCCATAATTATTGCCATTGGAGACACTAATTATGAAGAACAGTGTCCAAATCATTAAGTTCATGGACACAGATTTTCTGTGCCTTGTGAAGATGTTAGCACATAGACAACAGGGTGCTGCTGTAGCGGATTATAGTAGATAAATTACACCCCTTTTAACAGTAATCTAAGGGGGGTGAGAGGAAAATTAAGTCATCTTGCTGTTTACCTACCAATAGCAGGCATGTTGGAGAGAGCCACATAGTTTGGGTCATGAACAATTCTGATATTAAACGTGGCCTTCATGGCAGGTTCATCGAAACACGGGTAAACTCTCCTGGCATATGTTGGTTCCAGTTGGGAGGCAATGAGCATACTGTATTAAAAATACAAGATTAGTCCAGCAAGCTACAGTTGATCAAAATTCATATATAGCACACAAAACAAACAAATTAGAAAAAGCAGGAAATGAATCATGTAGATAGGCAGATTTGGAAAAGATTTGGCTATTATTTAAATCCATGATTAAATCCCTGGGCTGAACAGCCAGTTATGTTTGGATGCTTGTAGAGAAAAGCAGTCTTTTTAATTAGGTCTTTTTTTTCCCCTCACAGGCCTCTTCCAGATACCGTATTCAATATTTGAAGTTTCCTATTTTGTTTATTAAGAAAGAGATGATAGAAGTTTTACATGCAGCAGATCAGTGCTCAAAAGTAATACAATGCCCAACTTTAATGTCATCCTTAGAATATCTCTGTACACCTGCTCCTCTCTCTGGTGCGTGCCCTCTAATTAATTAATTACTGGTACATTTTAATAAAACATTGTAATAATTGTTAGTTAAATCTGTATACATGCACTTGCATACCTCTCAAATCCCACAGAAAAGAACCACTGCAAAAAGATCACCAGTGCACTGGCAAACCCAGAATATAATATTCAAAAGGATCCTTTTCTACCTTATGCTTAAGAGCCTCTCCTCACTTAGGGCAGATCTCTGTGGCACACTGTAATGGGTGCACTCCTCCTGTTTGAACTAAGTGAACTTTGGTCCAGGCAGATGCTCAGCAAGTAGGTCTAACCAAAGTTAACTCTACTGTGTGAGGCTATCAACGAGCAAACCAAAACCAAAGGTTTGACTAGGGGCTGGACTGGTAAGTCACAGAAACTGCATTAATAGTACAAAAACTTACTTCAAATCAACCACTTTGCAATGTAAATATCTGCAGCTATCAGGGTCTGTTGAGCTCTCCCTCCATAGCACCTGGCTGCATAGTGGTGATCTCCCCTCAAGCAGGTATACCTCTCAAGGTTACCCTTGAAGCTGAGAGACCCCTTACCTGACACCAGACACAGATGAGTTGGTAAGTGACATTCTTTGCATGCATGTAGCATTTAAGATACGTAAATTTGCATGATAATCTTTGTACCCCATACTAACTTTAAGTGTTGAGCATTTATAACAATTTATATTTAATATTTATTAAATATTAAATATTAAAAC